GAGAGGAAAAAAGGAAATAATAAGAATCAGAGCAAGTCTAAAGAATGGACATACTCCACTTTTCTTAAAAGCTGGCAATTTACAAGAAAAATCCAGTGAAGACTCTGGAGGACATTCATTTCTTACACAAATATTCTAGATTGTTTTCTTACTGCAACATGAAAGCTAACTAGTAAATATTCTGACGGGTGGATTTCCATGTTAATTTGGCCAAACTAAGGATGTGTTGTAATGTCTTGGAATACAAAGGCAAAATGTACCAAACTGTTTGAAGCTCTCCTCTCCGCAACGGTTGTCATGGGCCCGGCGGTCCTGGGGGGCCTGGACTGCTCAGGTCGTCCGGGCCCCACATTCAGTGGGTACATACCGGGTCGCAGGGGGCCCTGCGATCCCGGTATTTACCCACAGGGCCAGCCCTTTCTCCTGGGGAGCCCAGGAGCCGGTCACCTCAGGGCCCCCCAGAGGCTGGCCCTGCTGACACTCGGCGGTGGGCGGGCCAGCGCGCGAGGGAGCACTCTCTGAGTGCTTCCTCTTCAGCTCCCTCGCGCACCGTACTGATGCCGGAGCCGGAAGATGACGTCATCTTCCAGCTCCGGCATCCCTATGCGGCGCGCGAGGGAGCTGAAGAGTGAAGCACCCCAGAGAGTGCCCCTCACGCTGCCCGCACCGGGTGTCCGGTGGAGGAAACGAAATTTGAGGGAGGGGGGGAGGAAATGAAATATGAGGGGGGGGAAGTAAATGAAATGGGGGAGGGAATTAAATTCTTGAGGGAGGGGGAAGGAATGAAATGGGAGGGGGGAAGGAATGAAATGGAGGGGGGGGGAGAGGAAATGAAATGGAATTTGAGAGGGGGGAGGAATTAAATGGGAGGGGGGAGGAAATGAAATGGAATTTGAGAGGGGGGGAGGAAAGGAAATTCTGAGGGAGGGGGAAGGAAATGAAATGGAGGGGGGGGCAATGAAATGGAATTTGAGAGGGGGAGGAATGAAATTTGGAGGGAGGGGGGAAGGAATGAAATGGAATTCTGAGAGAGGGGGGAGGAATTAAATGGGAGGGGGGAGGAATTAAACACCTGGAAAGGGGGGGAGGAAATCGAAATTTGAGGGAGGGGGGAAGGAATGAATGGAATTTGAGGGGGGGAGGGAAATGAAATTTGAGGGAGGGGGGGAAGGAAATGAAATGGGGAGGAATGGAAATGGGAGGGGGGAAGGAAATGAAATTTGAGGGGGGGGACAGGAATGAAATCTGAGGAGGGGGGGACAGGAAATGAAATTTGAGGGGGGGAGAGGAATTAAATTTGAGGGGAGGGGGGAAAGGAATTGGAATTTGAGGGAGGGGGAGAGGAAGGAAATTTGAGGGAGGGAGGGGGGAGAGGAATGAAATTTGAGGGAGGGGAAGGGAGAGGAAGGAAATTTGAGGGAGGGAGAGAGGAAGGAAATTTGAGGACGGGGACAGGAAGGAAATTTGAGGGACAGGGGGAGAGGAAGGAAATTTGAGGGACGGGGGAGAGGAAGAAAATTTGAGGGATGGGGAGAGGAAGAAAATTTGAGGGATGGGGGAGAGGAAGGAAATTGGAGGGACGGGGAGAGGAAGGAAATTGGAGGGGGTGAGAAGGAAATGAGAGGGATGGGGAGAAGAAGGAAATGGGAGGGGGAGAAGAAGGAAATTGGAGAGAGGAAGGGAGGGGGAGAAGAAGGAAATTGGAGGGAGAGGGGGGAGAAGGAAATTGACGGGGGGGAGGGGGAGAGATTGACATCCATCACACACAATGCACCCTTTGCACACAGAAAAACACAATGCATAACACACAGACACACGTACACAAGCAATGCATCCCTCACACACAGCAACACACAATGAACCCCTTACACACACTCAATGCATCCATTACAGATGCACACACTGCATCCCATACATACACAAACTCATCTTGCAGCCCTTACACATACAAACACAGATTCACACAATGCATTCCTTACACACCTCAGGACATCCCCCACACACACACTCCACTCCTTGTGAACAAACTCATTGGTGGAACATGAAAGTGGACCCTGGGATCCAGACCTTGAGCTGTGTAAAGGGCCCTCAAAAAAATGGAGCTGCTTCCCGTTCTCCCAGAACATTGATTTTTGTGACCACAGTTACAAACCGCCTCCAGAGAGCCTGTTCTACACCAGACCAGTGGAGCCAGACTGCAGCTAGAGCCCATCATCATCCTCATCTGGTTGTAAGTAGGCAATCTAGTATATTATTCGTGGCACTAATCTCTAATTTACCTCACATTAAAGGGACACTATAATCCCCAGAACCACTGCAGCTTAATGTAGTGGTTCTGGTGTCTATAGCCTGTCCCTGCAGGCCTTTTAATGTAAACACGGCGGCACTGCAGAACTGGTGTTCGTTAACATGGCAGATCATATGGGTGGGGCATTGTGATGTCACATGGGGGGGCGGCAAACTTTACTTTTGCCTAGGGCGGCAAAAATCCTTGCACGGGGGGGGGGGCAGCACTTTGGCCCTACTCAGGTGCAGGCACCAGGGGGCCCAGACCTTGAGCTGTGTCAGGGGCCCCAAAATTTCTGATGGCAGCCCTGGTTTCAGTTTGAAACACTGCACTCATAGAGAAAGAGACCAGTGCTGCCCGGTTAGTAACTCCACCACCGGCAGCGTCATTAGCCAGCTTAGAATGAGAGTATTAAATGTTAAATCTGTGTATACTGGGCAGCTGTTTTCGGAATGCATAGCATGCTGGCGACAGATGATCAAAGGTGGCATGGGCACCATAGGGCTTCCTATGCTATGCACAAGATATGCAATGAGTTACAAATGCAGGGGAGAATTTATCTTTCCCTTGTAATGTATTTAGGTTGGTCTATTAGTTGTTTATGAATTCTTGCATTTTGCTGCAGTGATAGACAACAGAGTGCAAGGGAATTACTTGTCCACTAACATGTGTAAGGAGCATATTGTTGTTATGGTGCTTGGTAATTCCCTTTTTAATGCTCACCGTTATGAGGAATATGTTAGGAACCCACGCATATTACCAAAGAAGCACATCACTCTAGCAAGTGCATTCTTTTCATATAATTAAATTCTGGCAATGACTTATAGATGTTTGCAGAATTACTATAATTTTCTTACAGTGTGATGCGGAACACAGTAATCCACATCAGCTATTGTGTCTCTCAATGCTTTATCAGTGATTGCTCTGTGCCCCTGTAACAGTGTGCTGTCTGCAGAGGCTCTCAAACCGTGGTCACGAACAGATGTTAGCATCGCAACTAGAGACTTGGAACTGATGTTCAAGACAGCTGGCAAATGTTGCTGGTAATACTTATACAGAATATACCTGGATGTGCATACACTATTAACTGTGCTTATTGAAGGATTATATTATCATCTTGCCAATTATAAGCAATGAATGAGGTTTAGGATGGCTGTCTTTCAAGAAAAAAAATATATGACCTATCTCATAGCTGAGCTTTTTATCGGGCGCACACTGGCATTGAGGACTGTGAAATATTTCCTTAGCACTGTAAGCAGTATGAGAAAGTGGCGTGTTTTGTTTTTGTTTTGTTTTTTGTTTTGTTGTATTTTTTGTTTTTTGTTTTTTACTGTGAAAGTGCTGTTTATAGTGAAATCTACAGTATAATATATTTAAAAAAAACAGCTATATATCATGCCAATGGGAGTTTACAGCATAAGGCAAGAGAAAGTAAGTGTCCTCCCTCCTTCCTTTAACCCCTTAACACCGTTACGGCGTTCTATGCATTAAATGGGCTTTAAAGTCGTTGCAGTGACATAGAACACCGTAACGGCTGAAGCCCCCAAGAGATCGGAGGTACTTACCTCCGCCGCAATCCTCTTCTGGAGGGCTGCCTGACAGCCCAGGCAGCCCTCCCCTGGCAAATGAGGCCCCCGGGGGTCATGTGATAGCTCTCAAAAAGCGATCACATGGCCCCCCATAGCTGGCTGTGGATCTGCCAGCAGGGGGACTATCTGAAATATAAATATATATATATATATTAAATATCTAATATATATACATCTTATATACAGGGAGTGCAGAATTATTAGGCAAATGAGTATTTTGACCACATCATCCTCTTTATGCATGTTGTCTTACTCCAAGCTGTATAGGCTTGAAAGCCTACTACCAATTAAGCATATTAGGTGATGTGCATCTCTGTAATGAGAAGAGGTGTGGTCTAATGACATCAACACCCTATATCAGGTGTGCATAATTATTAGGCAACTTCCTTTCCTTTGGCAAAATGGGTCAAAAGAAGGACCTGACAGGCTCAGAAAAGTCAAAAATAGTGAGATATCTTGCAGAGGGATGCAGCACTCTTAAAATTGCAAAGCTTCTGAAGCGTGATCATCGAACAATCAAGCGTTTCATTCAAAATAGTCAACAGGGTCGCAAGAAGCGTGTGGAAAAACCAAGGCGCAAAATAACCGCCCATGAACTGAGAAAAGTCAAGCGTGCAG